TCAAAGTTTTGCTCTCTTCCTCTTTTCACTATCGTTGCCAACAATTTTCTTCCAACAGACAGGATTTATAGAGAGATAGAGAGTCGGAAGTGGTTATACGTCTAACAAAACTGAGTATAATATTTATGGAGTTACTAAAAGTATACTAAAGCTGAGACAGTATGTATAGTGTGTGATAGTATATAATATTTATGCCATTTAGAACATGTATGGAGAGACATATAAAGATAAAAAACTTTTTATAAATCGAACGTGACGAAGATAATATGAAACGTAGAAATTAGTTTGGCGCCTTTTTTAAATATTTAGTAGTTTTAGTTCTGGTTTATTCCGATAGAATTGTTCTTTAGATCATTTGGTATTGCAGAACAAGTTTTTCTTGCAATTGAGCAAGGAGTTTTCATTTAATAATTGTTCAAGTTCTTCGAATTTTCAATTTCCAAATTTTTCTATCGAGACGTTCTTCATTCGACATGTCTAAATATTGAAAAATATATCCTTCTTTCAAATAATCTACACCGTGTCCTGTAAATGTGACGATTTATACTTTAAAATTCAATTTAAATGCAATTTCAACATCGAATATTATAGTTCGCAGTAGTAGAATTTGGAGAATTGTTAAAAAATTAATTTTGAACAGATTCGAATATTTAGACAATCGAATTAATCGAATTAACCAGCGAGAGTGGTGGTCAAAGACTAATTACCACGGAACATTCCAAGTTCATTAATTTTCCACTACAATCTCTGGATCTTTTAAAGTGATGAAAAATTTCTAGGGAACATCGCGACAAATTTCGTGCCTTTAAGATGTATTCATATTCATTTTTGGCTCTCCTCGCGTGTCGTGCAGGTTGCTGGCATCGTTAATCACATCCGTCAACCAAAAAACCAATATTTGGCTCTTTTCATTTTTCTTGTGAACAGCATTCGACATTTCCTCGCGTCTGTCGTATATCCATCGGGGGATGCGCCGTGCAATTAAAATTCGCAATAGAACAGAGAACTCGGGTTCCTTTCCCGAGGCTCTTTGTCGCGCAGCATTCTTTGTCAGGTCAATTTTATTCCGGTATTAGCGGTACGCTGATGAAAAATAGGGTTTGATAGAGCGAAACTTGAATATTCAAACTAAGGGAGGGGGTGAACAAAAGCGTCAGTCATTGAAATTTCATGCCGTTTTTCCTGCACATCGATCGAGCGTATTGATCGCTTTTTTTCTTTTTTTGCTTTTTTGCACCGTGGATGATAAAAAACGTCTTTTCCTTCTGACAATGGATCAATTAAACTCTCCCGTGGATTGATCTATAAATATTGTTCTGCCGAAGTTCGATGCAAACCAAAGATACCTGAATCGCGCGTGTTTCAATACAATATCTGTCCGATTGGAATTTTCTCTTTTACTTGATTTCCAGAATTTGCAATTGATCGGATTTGATCGATGTTTTTTGTGTCGTGACATTTAATAGAACTCTCAATTTTTTGCGCCCAATACTGGACGTTTATACTATCCGATCGAGTATTATTGTTATCTATTTACGGCTTCTCAAAGAACGTTTAACACGATTAACACATTATATGTATATACGTATGTATGCGTATAAATATTTATTTGGAAAATACATTTTAATATACAGAGACGAGATGAACAATTAGTTAAACGTAAAAGACAGATAGATATAAGGTAGGAAAAAGATCAATTTTGTTGATTAACACACACATGAGGTTTATAGAATTAGATTTCCCATACGATGTACGAATAACGTGCGGATGAAAATTTGGTTAAACTCGGCAAGGAGTGCGTGCTTTCAACAATTCAAGAATTTCGGCGCAGTCGGATTACTAATGCAAATTACACGAGGCTTATTACGTTTTAATCCTTTTAGTGCCGACAGAAAAAGTTGTACCGTGAGCCAAGTTGATATAGTCCGGTAAAATTTGTGGAAGAAAAGCAAAAGATATAAAAATTCTGTGAAAAATGATAATCACGAGATTCGAAAAGGAACGTACCTTTTATAGAAATAAAGTAAGAAGTAAAGTAGATTAAGTTTAATTAAGCCATCGAACGTTGCTTACTACAAGCATTAATGAGCAAATGTATTTTAACCCTTTCGGTACGAGCGCTCTGTCCGCCGTGATACACCCGCTGTACGAGAGCGCGTGGTCAGTTCTCTTGTGTATAAAGATTTTCCTTAGCGTTAAATAAGAACTGTGCTTTAATAAAACAATGTTTCTTCTAAGAAATGTCGCTAGTTTTAATATTAAAAGACATTTATATTAAATTCTGTTAATTATACAAGTAAGACTAGAATTATATAAGTACACACAAGTCATCAGATGGACGCCGGCTATATCCGGCGCTCGTACCGAAAGGCTTAACGATCGTTCAAACATTTCGACTAAATTATTGCACTTTTATGCATTGCTGTATGATCATAGAAAGAGGACTTCTCGTTTGATAAGTGAACCCAATTAAAAGACGATCCACGAGTTAACCACGCGTCTGCCGTTCGTCGAATTGAAAACTCGAAAGATGAAATTAGGGGATGATATCTTCCACTGTCTTGCGCATGGCCTTTTTGAATTCGATACGCGTAGCCGACGTTTATCACGGCGAGGAATTCTCGACGAGTCGTTCAGGTAGAAGGTACGTACGTAAGTACTAGGTCGGGTCGGGACGCATTGGTTCGAATCGTGCTCGAAAATATGTAAACGAAAGCGTAACGCGGTGGTAAACGAGTGATTTCAAGGAGAAATAACATTTTACGATCCTCGAGAACTCTCGCCGGGCAGAAAGTGAAATCGGCAATATTTCAGTCGACATTCGTGGCTTCTTGGCAAATTACTCGTGATATCATCGATACCTGGCTTCGATTACATTCTCACACCGCTACTTACTCCATTGAAATCTTCCTTTTGAAACGGATGATTTATGGACAGTTCACTCGGTGACGGTGAATGGAAATCGTTTTCGGCAACAGCGTTTTCACGTTGAGGTAAAATATGACACGAGACGCCGGCTGTAGCTCGGAAAACTTTTAAATGTTGCAACAACGTTGCTACTGATTCGTAACGAATTCCATTTCGCCCGCACGTTGACGTTGAGATCAATTAAGCGTCTTGGACAAACGGAATTTCCAAAACGTGGCTAATGGTTTCTGAAGTAATTTAATTAAATTACAAACAACAAATCGGAATGGTAAATTGTACAATCATTTTCGTACAGAGATCATTGATAATAATTGTCACGTTATCATCCTCGATCATACGAGATACTTGGAAATTATCCAATTACGAAACAGGTATGTATTAGGTACTCGAACTTCTTCAGTTAAATTTTCTTTTGGCCAAAACGTTGAAACAAAGATCAGAGATAGATGACACGTGCTCACTGTGTGCGAGAAAGGATATTAGAAAACATAAGTTTTGAAAACAAGCTGGATGTCACATCAGGAGTCTATTTGTATAATTCTAGTATTTTTTTTTCTTTTTTTAACGAAGGAACCGAATTTTTTTTCATTGTACTCTCCAGTGAATCTACTCTCATCTTCCAAAATATGCCTCGAGTTCTAACAAACGAGTTCTCAATTGTAATTTCTTTACGAAGTAAAGAACTACTCTAACGATCAGATCAAATCGCGTGGCTCGAACGATTCAATTGCTTTTATTTGATGCAACAGATACTTTAATCGTAGCTCGTCTAACGGTCTGTACGAAATCGCGGGAACGCTTCGGTGCATTTACAGTGAAAACACACACTGTATTTTCCCGCAACGTTCGTGGGGTCTCGATTTCGAAAAGCTTGTTCCATGATACGATACGATGCGTTGTGTTCCAAACGAACACGCGGGTTTCGCAACGTTTCAACGATGAAAGACGGGGTTGTTAAAAGCCTGTTGTTAAAAGACGGGGTTGTTTTTACTCTGCCTGTTTACGCTTACGACGTTTGAAGATGTGTAAGTGCGGAAAATGTTAACGTCACGTTAGCGGATCCGTTTCGCTTCCCGCAGATTGCAAGAGATTCGAACTTCTCCCGACCGAGATGAAATTATACGAGAAAGAAAGAAAGGACACCGAGGATCCCGTAACGGAGAGTATTTTTCATCAAGTTTTTTGTGTCGCAGTAGTAAATACTTCATCACGAGGTAAACCGGATGTAGGCGAATCTTGTTTCGTATTATGCCGGTTATAAAGCGCGTGACGGCAAGGAAAATTGTTTCACAGAGAGAGAGAGAGAGAGAGAGAGAGAGAGAGAGAGAGAGG